ACACTATACAAGTAAACTAAATAAATATAATTCTAGTGATACTAATACTAAACCAATTTATTTTTGGTGTATAAATATCGGTCACTTAAGAAATAATTGCTTGCTGAACAAAAAAAGATTATAAAGGGAAGGGAAAAGTTCAAAAGTGACTACATGGAACGAGTCAGAGAGTAGCTCGAGTGATGATGATAAAAGAGCACATGGTTGTCTCATGGCTAAAGATAGTAATTCGAATGAATCCAAACAAGAGAGCTCCGATAGTGAGGTATACCCTACATATGATGATTTATACTTTACATATAATAAAATGTTGGGTTAATTTGAAACTTTTATTGAAAAATATAAAGTTGTTAAAATATAAATCCAAGTTTAAATAAGGATAATAAATAGTTGAGTGACAAAATTAAAAAAAAAAATTAGAATTGAATACATCTAACAATACAAGTGAAAATACCTCTTTTGAATGCATACCATGTTCCATGTACAAAGACATGAATTGTGATTTACCCAAGCAATTAACTAATAAAATTTGTGAAAATAAAAAATTAGTTAGTAGGGTAAATGAGCTTTCATGTGAGATGTCTTCTGAAAAAAATAAAGCTTGAAACTCGATGCACTACTATAGTTTCTAAAATTAAACAATTAAAGTCCCAAAATATTAATTCAAAAAATACCTTGAAAAACATTTGTTGGTTCTACAGGATTTAAACATGGTTTTTTTTCTAAGCAACGATTTGTAAAAGAAAAAAAACGAGAATTGGTTATCATATTTGGAAAAACATAAAAAGTTTGAATCTTCTTTTGTAAGAAGAAATAATTTAACTCTTTTTGCACTAATCTCAAATACATCTTCTATTACTTGTACTTTATGTGGTAGAATGTGTGATGTTTCAATAAATTGTCAAATGCAATATAGAGTTAAAATAATCAAGTAGATTTGGATACCTAAATACACAGTTACTAACCAACATGGACTTAAGTGGATTGTTAGACCCTAGAGGAGGGGTGATTAGGGTCTTATGCTAATCTAATCTAATTTTATCCCAATAAAAACTAATTAACAAATTATCCTAGTAAGTATGGAATACAACAATATATATGAGTTATGATAAGCAATATGAACAACAAGATATATCCTAACAAAGAGATATAGGCAATGTATGTGCAAGGATATATAAACAACATAAGGGTAAATCTAAACTAGATAGTGGATGATATAAATAATGAGCTATGGACAATGGTGACAAGAAATATAAACATAAGATTAAGTGCACCAAAGCAAACTCAAACACACGATATGATCACGAAGTTCGGACCTTCCGTCCTACGTCTCCGCTCTCTACTCCCGGGGATAAATCTACTATCACAACCGGGTTTTCTACACTCACCTGAATAACGTTTACACCTCACAGTGTCGGTTTTCAATGCTTACCGAACAACGTTCACTCCTCATACTCGGTTTTCTAGTTCACCGAAAACTTTACAACACACTCGGTTTTCTAACTCACCGAAAACCTTACAATCTCACAATGTAACAATAAATGATTTGTTCTCTCATACAAGGGGAGAACTCAATTAAGCATAAATATTATAATCTCTCATAACCCTAATATACTATGTATCCAAATACAATAAGCTCAAGTGGGTGTGTGTAACAAAGAGATAAATCAAATCTAAACTCAATATAAAACTAGCTTTAATAGAAATGATAATCAACAAATAATTATAAATAAAAGCTAGAGTTGAGTTTAGGAAAACTTCTCTAGATGACAAGAGAGAGAGATGGATTGAATGCCCAAAATACAATTGATAATCTCCTCAAACTCTTGTAAAACTTTCTTCATAAACCAACCCCTTAAACAAGCTTAAAACAAGCTTAAACTCTTTTTAAAACTCTTTAAAACATTCTCTTGTTGTGTATAGAGCTGAAGGTAAAAGGGGGTATTTATAAAAACCCCAAAGCTAAGAGAAAGCCAAGAAAAAGACCAAAAAACCACACTACAACAACTCTGGAACCTAGCCGTTGGGACTGATCTGACAGAGTGGCGATCGACCGCGGTGGTCGACCGTGAGCAACAAACAAACCACCAGAAAACTCCAGAGAGTTCGATGGTCGACCGCGGTGGTCGAACGCGAGAATTTTCAGCCGACGGTCGATCGTGGCAGTCGATCGCGAAAGTTTCTACTGCCCACTATGTAAAAAACTCAGGCGCGGTCGACCGTGGCGGTCGACCGTGAACTGATACATGAAAATGAAGTTCTGGAAACTATTTTTCTGAATTTAAAATACTATTTAAAAATATCAAACAAATTCCAAAAAATATAAAACTTTGGGGAATGATTATAGATATGGTAATAAACATGCTACAATGACTGGTTTCCAAAAAGGACTTCCCAAATGAAAAATATCATTATTTTACAAAATAGACCAAAACATGAAAATGTAAACATATGAATTTTGACATTTAGGCTAAACCATGTTTTAAAACTTTGCACAATGATTATGTAGACTTAATAAAATATATATATGATTTTTGTTAAGTCAAAAAACTAAGAATATAGTATTTTCACAAATATGCATATTCTATGCAATATATAATAAATATGAAACATGTGATTTTATATTTATAAACATGAAAACTCAAAAACACATGTATGTACATATATATAACTATATATATGCATAGAAACCAAAACTTATGTATATATATATAACTATTTATATATACGAAGAAAACAATAAATGTGTGTGTATATGATATTGAGCTTAGAGTATCTAACACACATAATATAAAATCTAAACTAAATTACCCAAACTTGATCTTGATCTTCAATAAGCTTGACTTGGTAATCTTGCGGATGAAGCTTGAACTTGAATCTTTAACTTTGAATAACATTGCTTCACTCTACAGTTCCGCCAACCTCCTTTTGATATGATCGTTATGACGCAATCCATCCAACCTCCAACTATGTTGTTTGTCTATAATAAATAAGAAAACATAAATACTAGACAAACAACATTAGTGGTAAATTGTTTGTTAAACATCATCAAAATAAGAAAGCCAACAAATAACTAAGTCACATCTATTTGCTTTTTCTGTAGGTGTGCAAGAAGGCTAAGGAGTAAGACAACATCTGTTATGGTTGCTCAAGGAATATTTTGAAAGACAAGAACCTATTCCTTAGCCTACCAAGAAGAATAAATGGATGAGAAGTTGCTAATACATGCAAAGAGGATTTCATTATGCAAGCAAGTATTTATTACAAAAATACAACTTGCATATATGCTTGTTTTAGTATATCTTCTCAAAGGGGTAAGTAAAGGTAAATTCTATAACCTGTTGTATGTATATAATTTAATTTTTCTTTATTTTTCATTCTTTTTAGGGTTATTTTTATTTTTTTATTTTTTATATATATCTGAAACAAAATAAAAATTTCTCTTTCTTTTTTCTTTTAAAAATTTTTTAAAAAAAATTTAGACATGCCTATGTATATGCTTTCACGAGATTGATTCAGATGATAATATCTTTTAGTATATAGGCTTGATTATATCGCACAAGTTCATATATAATTTTAAAATCTATATAAATACGTATATGTGTACACAAAGATAAAAGTTTGATTACTTTACACATTGTTTCTCAAGATATTTCATGTTGGTGAAATAATCTTGCTCAGGCTTTTTAAAAAGCATCCTCAAGTTGTTTTTCATCAACCAATCATCAACCTTTGAGAAGGGCTACTCTTGTACTTCATCATCTACACTATTATTCATCAAGCTTTGCAATCTTTTGAAGAATAGTTTACTAATCAAAAGGGCCATAAGATCTTTCTAGTTGCGCTTAATTGTTATTTATTTATTTGTATCAAACTTATTTTTATGACGTACTCAAATAGGGGCGAATTGAGGGTTTACGGCGTAGTCAAGCCAGTGTTAATTGAGGATTTATGGTGTACTCAAATCGGCAATAATTAAGGATTGGGACTAATTAGGGCTAGGTGTTACTCATTGCGGAGAGTTAGGCTAAACGACTGGTTTCATGTAAATTCCAAGGTGCAGTCTTTGTAAACATACTGAATCAGGTTGTGATTCAAGAGAACTCTTGGCATAATGAGAAAGCCCCTTTCAGAGAAGGAATTGTTATCTAAACCACTATAAAAATCTCATGTGTTCCTTGGTTGATTTTTGGTTTGATTGTTCGCTTTTATTTTTCTATATTTCCGCTGAATATTATGTGTTTTAGCAAAAAACTATATTAAACATATTTAACCCCCCTCCTCGGGGCTTGTATCTCAAATCTAACAATGGGAAGGAGGTTTCTTCTAATTTACCCTTTTCTTTAATCCCATTGCAATTTATCGTGACTTCACTAACCATTTTCTCCAACTATTGAGGATGTGTATATGTTCCTAACTTGTTTTAATTATGAATAGTCTACTCTTTTGCTTGATAAGAATGATCACATTGATCAATCTAGGAATAAGTTGGGGTTCATTGTAACATGAAAATGTTAGTCGTTGTTTGGGTTATTTTGGCTAATAAAGAACAAATACTTAAGATAAAGATGCTTGAGTCGTGGCATGTTTAGGCCCAAGAAGTGAAAGTTCATATAGCATGGTTCATTTTTCTTAAATCTATTTATTTACTTTTCTTCTTTTGTTTTCCTTTACTCCATTCTCTACCTTAACGGCGTACGACTTGTAATGCCGTGAAGTTATTTCTCAAAACGATATTTGCAGATTTAACTGAAAACCACTTAAAACATTTTTGTGATAGTTCCTAATTGTAGTTTCACAAACTTAATTTGTTTATTTAAAAACAGAAAGAGTTTAATCCATGTTTAATTTGAATAAAAAGAGATGAAAAAGTGCCGATGTCTTATGAGAAGAACAAATAGTTGAGAAAAGCAAGAAGAAATGCTTCACTTTTCCTGCATCATCTATAGTTAATTAAAATCTAATATGTTGGTTTCTCATCAACGACATTCAACTAAAGCATGTTAGTATTAAATAACCACACTTTTTATAATGAAAATCCCAAAAGAAGCTGGGTCAGTTTTTTTGCTGATAATAGGAAGCAGGGAAGTGGTTTAAATTTGAACTATATCCCCCCTGAATCTAATGATAGGGTTTCATTTAATGAAGATGAGTGGAATGAGGGGATTTCTACCTGGCAATCTTCTCTTGTAGGTCAGGTGATGGGCTTGAATGTTAAGTTGGAAGGATTTATTCATAAAGTTTGGACTCCTCTGGCAAAACCTGAGATTAGTCTCCTTAAAGCTGGGGTGTTCCTTTTCAAGTTTAAAAATAAAGAAGATATGAATAATATTCTCTTATCTGGTCCCTGGTTTTTTGGTTCTCGTCCAATGTTGTTGAAGCCTTTGTCTGTGGGGGATGATTTTGAGAAGTTAAATGATTGCATTTATCCTTTATGGATACAGCTACCAGCTCTTAAGTTGAATTTATGGAATGCTAAAGGGATCAATAAAATTTCTAGCATAATTGGTCGCCCTATAGCTACAGATATGTTAACTGCCAATATGCAAAGACTGGCATATGCCAGAGTTCTAGTTGAAGTGAAAATGCCCTCTCCTCTCCCAGATAAAATTGCAATTCAAGGGCCTGATGGTTCACAATATCTTCAGAAAGTGTTCTATGAGCTTAAGCCTAGATGGTGTGACCACTGTAAGAATGTAGGCCACGATACTAAGTTCTGTAAAAAGTTTTATCCTGCACAAAAATGGATCCCTAAGCAAAAGGATACTGTATCTGATTCCAAACAGGCAACTGTTCTGATACCTAATGCTACTGATAAAGGTGTAAATCCTGTTGTTGTGAATCAGCTTCCTACTAAAGTTGTTACCTCTTCTGTGAATTCTGGAGCTGAAGTGCTATCAAAAAATACAAATGAAGTGGTCTTTCCAGCTGATACAAACAGTGCTGTGCAGGTGCATGTTCAGCCTGTTTTGAACTTTAACAAAGGAAAGGATGCTGTTCTCCCTGGTAGTTCATGGCCTCAAGTGCACAGAAATAAAAGTAAAGGAGTTAACCCCTTCTCTCCTCTCACTAACTTGATTTCTGCATTGGACCCCTCAACTATTGATAGAGGGGGTGAAAACCTATGAACCTATCTTTTTGGAATGTTAGGGGATTAAATAAATCCCCTAAACAGCATTTGGTTAAGAAACACCTTATGCAATATCATCTCTCTTTCTTAGCTCTTCTGGAAACAAAACTAAAGCAGGATAAAGTTCAGGCAATAGCTAAAAAAATTGCTATAAACTGGAAGTGTGTCTCAAATGCTAATAACTCAGATAAAGCCAGGATTATGATTCTGTGGGATCCATATATCTTAGATGTTCATATCATTGGCTCTTCAGCTCAACATGTTACCTGTGCAGTTAATTCCCTGGATGGAAGGTTAACCTGTGTTATTTCTTCTGTTTATGGCTTCAATCATTCTGATGGGAGAAAGTCATTATGGACAGATTTATCCCAGATACAGCATGCTTATGGGTCTTTACCGTGGCTGCTCTGTGGTGACTTCAATGCTATGATTAGTGAAGATGAAAAATTGGGTGGCACAACTCTATCTGAATCTGATACCAGGGATTTTAACCATTTCATTGATAGCAACCAGCTAGCCCATCTGAAAACTATTGGATGCTTTTTTACTTGGAACAATAAACAGGATGCTACTACTAGAGTTTGGAGTAGATTGGATAGAGCATTAGTGAATGATCTCTGGATTAATACTTATAATTCAAGCCAGGTGGAATTTCTTCTTCCTAGTTTCTCTGATCACTCTCCTGCTCTTATTTCTATCTTTGAGGATCAAGTGCAAGGTAAGAAGCCCTTCAAATTCTTTAAGATGTGGATCAAGCATGCTAACTTTTTACCTACAGTCTCCTCCATATGGAATACTTCTATTGTTGGCCACACTATGTTTTCTGTCTGTTCAAAGTTAAAACTCCTGAAAACAGCTCTGAAGGATCTCAACAAAAGACACTTTTGTAATATCAGTGAGCAGGTTCTTAGAGCAAAGATGGATCTGGAAAATGCTCAAAAGGCTTTGTTATCTGACCCTTTTAATGCTTCTCTCATAAATCAAGAAAAGGTTTTATTGCTACTTTCAACAAACTTTTGGAGTGTGAATTATCATTCTATCAACAAAAAGCTAGAATCAAATGGAATCTCCAAGGGGATAGATGCACAAGGTTTTTTCATTCTGTTATCAAAAGCAACAGACACCATAATAGAATTATGATCCTGTATAACAATAATGGAGATAGAATTACTGAGGGAAATGAAATTGCTATGGAACTTATCTCTTACTATAAATCCTTGTTTGGAGCCTCAGTCACTACTATTGATCCTGACATGGATATAATTCAGAAAGGCCCCTGTCTTAATGATCTTCAAACTAGAGAGCTATCAAAGCCAGTTACTAAAGAAGAAATTAGGAATGCTGTTTTTTCCATGCCTGATGATAAGGCACCAGGTCCTGATGGGTATAGTGCTGCCTTCTACAAATCTGCTTGGCCTATTGTGGGAGATGAAATCATTCAAGCTATTGAAAGTTTCTTCAAATCAGGTAAATTATTGGGGACTGTCAATTCTACAGCAATCACTCTCATTCCAAAGGTGAACTGTCCTTCAAATCCTGCTGATTTTCGACCAATTTCTTGCTGCAACTGCATTTACAAGTTCATTTCAAAGATTTTAGCAAACCGAATACAATCTGTCATGGGAATTATCATCAGTGAATCTCAGTCTGCTTTTGTAAAGGGTAGGCAAATCCAAAATAACATCTTGCTGGCCCATGAACTAGTTAAAAACTATGGAAGGAAGCACTTATCTCCTAGAGCTATGCTTAATATTGACATCAGAAAGGCTTTTGACACAATTAACTGGGGTTTTTTTGGATAAAATGCTCAGAGGTTTGGGGTTCCCTACAACTTTTGTTGATTGGATTATGACTTGTATTTCAACCCCTAAATATTCCATTTCTCTTAATGGTTCCTATCATGGCTATTTCAAAGGGGCTAGGGGTTTGAGGCAGGGAGATCCTCTCTCCCCCTACTTGTTTATCATAGGCATGGAGTATCTTTCAAGACAACTGAGCTTACTGAATAATGATGGAGAGTTTAAATTTCATCCTAAGTGTGGTAGTCTCAAGATTTCTCACCTTATATTTGCTGATGACCTGCTTTTGTTCAGTAAGGGGGATGTAAAATCTGTTCTGAAAATCTACCAGTGTGTCAAAAAATTTGGTGCCATTTCTGGACTTGAAGCAAACCTCACTAAGTGCTCTATATTTTATGGTGGAGTTGATGACACTATCAAGAATGAAATCTATAATCACATTGGATTTCCTGAGGGAGTTCTTCCATTCAGATATCTTGGTCTTCCCCTGATTGCAAAGAGATTATCTTTTGTTGACTGCAGTCCCCTGTTTCAGAAAATTTCAAATCAATTTCAAGATTGGAAGAAGCACAGAACTCTGTCCTATGCAGGCAGAATGCAGATTATTAAAAGCATCATTCTTGGTGTTCAAATATTCTGGACTTCATGTTATATTCTGCCCTCCAGGGTCCTTCAGAAAATAGATGATCTTTGCAGAGATTTCTTGTGGGGAAGATCTGATCATAGTCTCAAGGCTCCACTTGTATCTTGGGATAAAGTATGTACAGGTAAGAATCAAGGGGGTCTGGGTATCTTTTCTGCCACTACTTGGAATCTAGCCACTGCAGTTAGAACATTATGGTATGTGCATTCAAATAAAGAGTGTTTGTGGATTAAATGGGTTCATGGCACCTATCTTAAAGAATCTAACATTTGGCAAGTGAGGGTGAAAACTGGAGACTCTTGGTTATGGAAACAGTTGCTGAAGGCAAGGGATAAAGCTGTGAATCTTGTGGGAGGGACTGATATGCTAATTCAGAGCATCAGGTCTTGTTATAATCAATCCAAGATTCAGCTATCTGAGCTAAATCTTGTGGGTGGAACTGATATGTTAATTCAGAGCATCAGGTCTTGTTTTTATCAATCCAAGATTCAGCTATCTGAGCTCTACAAGATCCTTTCTCCTACTAATGTAAACGTATCTGTACCTTGGGCAGATACAGTTTGGGAGAGTTCAATCCTACCTAAACAGTCTTTTATCTTGTGGTTCGCTATTCAAAATAGGCTTCTCACAAAGGATAGACTGCTTAAAAGAGGGGTAATTCAATCTAATCAATGCTCTCTGTGTGAAGGGGGATCTGAAAGTCACAAGCACTTATTTTTTGACAGTAGTTTTTCTATGACTGTTTGGAATGGGGTTATGGAATGGCTCAAGTTTAGTTGGAGGACATGTGATTGGAGATTGCTTCTTGATTGGTATTGCAATAGCCTAAAGGTGAAGGGTTCTAAACTGAAAGTGAAGAGAATGGCTCTTGCCGCAAGTGTTTACTACATTTGGAGAGAGCGTAATGAAAGGATCTTCAAATCGAAAAGTAGAAGCTCTGGCCAAATCATTAGGGATATTAAAGTTGATTTATACACTGCTATCCTCAACAATCTTTCGCTGCCAAATGAAGATTGGGGTTGGTTTCTCTCCCTGTAAATGGAAAGTTGAGTTTTCTTTGTTTGTTGAGTTTTAGTTCTCAGAGTTCAGTATCTGAGATTTTTGATGTACTTAACTTCTAAATTTTGGTTTGTGAATAAAAATCATTCATTTACCAAAAAAAAAACCACACTTTTAGCGAGCTACCGAATAACCAATTAATGGACCTCTACTAATCATTCTTGAATTAAATGACTTAGTTGAAGAAGATATGCTAAAGAAACCTAATTGTAAAGGTAAGCATAACTATGCTATGCTTTCCGAGAGATTAGTGTTGTACATTTAAATTCCTCAAAAAAGTAACAACAATATTGTCACACGCAGTTGCAAACACTTAATTCAATATTATATATAGTTGTAAATGCACCGGAGTATTTGGTTATCATGTCCTTTTGGATCTACCAGGGCTGGTTGCTGTGAATGTTGCAATATAAATCTCATGATATTGCAAACTTAAAAAAATGCAATTGTGACTTACGTCTTTGTCAGTAACTCGAGATCTTTTGTGCTTTCTTAATTAAAGTAAAGTGGATAATTACAGTGAATTCAAAATATTTCAGTTGTACATGACTGCAGTCATTGCACGTTAAAAATATGCAACCAAAGAATCAAACACCTTAGGGCATCTCCAACCCATCGCACCAAAATGGTGCAAATTTTGCACCAAAATGGTACAAAAGTCACATCTAACAGTAATTCATCTCCAACCCACTGCACCATTTTTTGCACCAAAAAGAATATTCTCAGTATCTTTCTTTTTATCTACTTTTATATTATTATTTTTTATTCCCTATATTTTTAACTATTTCAACAATTAACCCCACATATCAAATTTTATTTTTTCACATATTTTCCAAACAAAATGATTTATTATTTAAAAAATTAAACTAATAAAACTAATAAAACAATAAAATATTATTTTATTAATTAAAATAACTTGATTGCTGTAGGCATATAAAATTGCTTATAGGTCCCTTAGCACAGCTCGGCACAAACCGACGAACCAACGAGTTACGCTAAAACTTAATTAACCAACAAATTGTTGCATATTAGATTTAATATAATAAATTGGTCAAATTAGTTTCACCAGCAAACACAACAAGAGGAAGAAATTTCTTATAGACAACCACTGGCTACAAAATCTTTGCTATGGTTATAGTTAACGCATATGACGTGCCAATCGCAATGGCTAATACTAATTAAATGATTTTATGTTGTCTAATTTGGTTTATAACCATCTTCCTTCTTGTACTTCAAATACTGAGCTCGTTAGGGTTGATGTGAATGATGATAAAAAGCTTTAAGGATGTAGCTTTGACGCAAAAAAAAAAAAGACCCTTTTTCCTTTGAAAGAAGCGAGATTGAAGAAAACTCACCGAAATAGCAGCAAAATGATCACAACTTTTTCCGCCGTCAGCAACCCAGTCAAGCTCTCCGACTTCGAACCAGAGACAAAAGATTTCTCTCTCTCTAGCTTTCTCTCGCCCTAACAAGGATGGACTTGGATTGAGCTTTCTCTCTCTAAAAGGAACCCCTTCTCTCTTGAAGGGAGG